AGGGGCCCGGTGCCGCAGAAGGAGCCGGAAAGGGGCCGGCGGTTAGCGGCGCTGTTGTTGGCGGTGGTGCCACGGAGCCTCGCGTCCCCGTCGGCGGCGTTGCTGATGCCGCGGAGGCCGGTGGCAGGGGGAGCGCCGGTGCCGGCGCGGGTGTTGGTGGCGGCCGCGGCATGTTTTCCTCGGCTGCCGGCATGGACGGGGGCGGCGGCGGCGGCGGAGCCATGGCTGGGCCTGGTTCCACGAAGGGTCACAGCGAGGCGGTGGAAGCCTCGAGGAAAACCGGTATGGTCTTCTGAGTTATGTGGCTAGAAGGCAGCGTGGAGCTCGTTGGAGGCTATCACATCGAGGATATGAGGCTTTCAGTCGGGAGGGGGGTTGGTGTCGTCTGCTTGGGTGGGTGTTGTGATGTGGTTTAGGTATGGGGGGGGGGGGGGGGGGGGTACTCGAAGAGTACTGGTTGTGCTGTTCCCTCTCGGTGGTATTTCCATGATGATTTTCATGCCGTGTCATAACACTGAAGAAAAACAAGCGCTGCTCGAACCGAGAGGACACAAGACATGCTGCACCCAAATTGCTGTTTTAATTATGCCGACCAGCCCTGTTTCGGAATGATGTCAAAGGAGTAGTAGCCGTGTTGGTCGAGCAACGTAGTAAATGGTTTTTTGTGTGTGTGATTCTGCTGCACAGTTTCACTCTTTCCTTTGCCCTCCCTGGGCTGCAAGGCTTAATGTTCCCTGTTCTCTGGCGGGGGGTGGGTGTGGTCTCTGCTACAAGTGCGGCCATTCGTAGAGCTGTAGGTGCCCTCGCGAAAAAGCGACGGGTGGGGATAGAGAGGAGGAGGAGGCTTGATGTAGTGTTGTGTGAGGCGTGCATGAGCACCCTCCGTGCTGTCGCCGTTCGTTTGTGGTTGTGGGTGTGCTCGCGGAAGGCGATGTCCGTCCCCAGGGCAACGTATCGCGAAGTGGGGTGATGGTGCGCAGCACTTGTTGCGTAAAGGCGTGTGTGTGTGTGCGTTGGTGGCGTGCTTGTGCTTTCTCCGTGTGTGTGGGGTCGGTGTTGCAATCTGACACGCGCACGGAAAAGTATTTGTGGACAATATTGTGTGTTGTGTTGTGTTGTGTTGTGTTGCCACCCGCCATGAATCCTGGGGGTAAAGTGCTAGTCTACACATTGCGAAGTTCAAGTCTACACTTTGCGGCATGGTTGGAAGCGCCAGCCAGCCTACCAGCAAGGACGAAGAGTTGTGTAGCCGATACAACTACACCATAGAGAGTAACAGTGTGTTACTTGTAGGAGTTTTCGGATTGGAGGGTCGGCTGGGGATGGGGACGGCTTTTGCCAATAGGCACTCACTCACTCACTCAGCCGCGTCTCTATAAAATTTTTTGCCGGCATCTTTTTGCCGTTGTGCAACCGAGGTATCTACAAGTATCGGTGGTGGTTTTCCAGGTTATTCTGTGGAAGTGGAAGTGGAAACAGCTGTTGATTCGATGAACAAAAAAAAATTCAACAGCAGTGGCAATAGCGTGTGGATGTGGAGTTTGCAGTTAACAATACGTTTGATGACGTCTGCAGTAAAGCGTCGGACAACGACACGCCACGCGAGGCAACCAGGTTCGATTCAAACGCGACCTGGATGGGTCTTGACATGAACAAAAAAAATAATGGAAGTACGCATTTGAGAAGCAAGTCAATCGGTGCAACCCCCCCCTCTGCCCACTGAAATCGATCCAAATCACGGGCCACCACCCCCTTGAGCATTTCGACGACCTACTGTATCTCTGGTTGCGTCACCACCCCTAGGAGGAAAAGACCTGGGGGCCTAGGGGGTGTGAGCACACGATGCACCACAACCTTGCGATTGGTGTGGTGCACAACAAATACACCAAGAAGCGATAGCCTAACCGTACTTATCCACCCCTCCCTTCCGATAAGCCCGCAGCACGTTTCATCTGTGTACCATGCAGCAGCAACAAACACCTAACCTGCCTGTGGCCGAAACACCCAGCACGAAAACGGGTCAGTAATGTATTTAGGTTCCGGCGGAGATCAAGCCTGTTTTAATTTCCCTAGCGTTCTGCAACCCGTGACATTTTATACTGTACAATCCCCCGCCCCCCCCCCTAATGGCTAATGTGGTCTACCAACGAAGGCGTGCAAAACATGAGAACCCCTCCCCTAAAAAAAAAAAGAAATCAATAACCAAGTGCTGACTAGGACGCGAAAACCAAAGGAGAAGGAACGATGTTTTACTAGAGGTATCGAGAGCACTTGCATGCATTACCGTATCAATATTCCATCCTGACCTTCTTAAAGACGCTGCCGTACTCTGTGCCTAGAATACACCACATGGTACTGCGAAGCACCTCTCCAAAAGAAAAAACAAAACGTTACACTCCGTAGAGCCCCCCGACCGTGCCAGTTAGTCCTAACGCCTCGCGTGTCGCTTAGAAACCCCCTACAGGCAGCTAAGGTACACACAGCACAGGTCAGCCGGAAATTAAAAAAAGTCCCTCCCGAACACAATTAACCCTCGCTCTTGGAAGCAAGCACACACTAACCGCAGCACACTCTTCAAGCGACCGCCGCCGCGCTGCTCTCCGAGGACGAGGAAACAAACTCCGAACAAAAGTACGGAAACGCCCCGGAGTTTTCCCCCGCGCCCTCGGCGCACGCCCGGCAGAGGGGCCCGCCGGACGAGCTCCCCCCGTACAAAAGTCTCGGCCTTTGTTGCGAACTCCCCGCCCCACCGCCGGCACCGCCGTTAACGCTGGCGGGGTCGTCGGCCGCCGGTGCCACCCCATGAGCGTCAGCGCAGTCGCAGCCGTCGGTGCAGCAGGGGACAGGCCCGGCGGCGGGGCACAACGCGGTGGTGCCTTGGAGAGCGAGGCTGTCCCACATCCCGAAGCTGCGCAGCTGGTGGGCCAGCTTCTTGTTGAGGATTAGCTGCCGCTTCGCCCGCGTGACCGCCACGTACAGCAGGTTGGCCTGCGCGAGCAACATGGAAAGAGGCGGGGGGTGTAGTAGTCACGTTTCGAACGCCTTGGTTGTGTGACCACGCGGACGGAACATTTGTTCCGGAAGGACCGATCACCGATGATGGTCAATCGTTTCTTCCTACTAGGGCTACGAGAAATATCAACTTGTTTTTCAGAATACATAATTCACCGTCAACAAAAATCGAACACCACCCTTCTTGTAGTACATGTCTTGCGAAACCGTAACCGTTAGCAACGAAAACCGCGGTAATCTTCACGTCGCCATGAGCGCCCAAACTTCCACAAAGAAAGAACAACAAATGCCCAATGCCCAAAGCAAATACGTACGTGCACACAATTCAAGAAACTGACACAATACGTCCGTCTGTCTGTACAAGACACGCGATGGCAACCAATCACCAACCAAGCAACCAGGAGAGAGAAAACGCACAAGTGTGCTGCTACCCGGGCTTAGCTCCTGCCTTCCATTTGTCACCCGTGCACCTTGATCTCTGGGAGCTTTCATCCTTCGTCCCCTTGTTGCAAATTTAGCGGTGGGGGGGGGGTACTCATAGCCGTGCATGCCGTGGTCGTTTGGCCATTGACCTCGCACCCGTACAACGCCGGGACGGACCGACATGCCGGATTTTCGCCGACCTAGGCTACTACGTTTTCACGAGGGTGAACCAGAACCTGGTGATAATCCTTGGGGGGTATGTGCTCATAGCCGTGCATGCCATAGACCATTGACCTCGCATCCCTACAAAGCCGGGTCTATATCCCTGCGTTTTGGGGGGGGGGTGAAAAGTCTTTCGTTCGGCGGTGTGGTGTGTCTACTGGGGGTATCTCCATGCCCTGGGTGGCGATAACTCACGCTTTCGGTGGCGCTCTTGCGGAGGGGCGAGCTTCCGTCCACCAGCTCGAAGGAAAAGTCGTCTGCGAGCACCACGGTGTCGTACTCCAGTCCCTGCAAAAAAACAAAACAAGGGGGAACAAAACTGGTTGAACACCGTCACACATTTTCTGCTTGGGGAGACGGGCCAAGTGTTTCCGCACACGACCGGGCCAAGTAATTCGAAGTACCGAATACTGCACGTGAAAAAATTGTCGGGTGTATGCATACGTCCTTTCTCATCTTCAGACAAGAAAAAGCAAGACCACCAGGATCTGCAGATAACTACTTACTGATCCCTAACCCACCTCTCCGTGATAACCAGACAAGGTTGCCAACCTCGTGCGCGCGTGTGTATGCGTTTATGCAACTAGCATTGACCCCACTACAGCGGTAACCGGCTCATCAGCAATAGAAGCCGGTGGTGGACGGTACTGTAGCAATCAAGGTCCAGAGAGAATGGTGCCAAAGTAAACCTCTTGACAAACCCTTTGACAGGCGAGAGGAACACGCTCGGCTCTACCTTCACCCAAGCTCCGAAAGAGAGTTGGCCAATTAAAGCGGCCGAAGCACAAGGTACCGAAAAATGCTCCCGAGTACCCCAAACACTACTATAATACTGCGTTGTGACTTCCGCGCTGCAGGGGATGCTCCGGAGCGACTTACATACCAAGTGCAGCGAACTCAAAAACAACGCACAGGCCGACGGCTTCGGCTTGGTACCGTACCTTGACCTTGTGGACGGTGGTCAGGATCATCAGCGGGCCCTTGGAGTCCGGGCCTAGACGCATGCTTTCCACCGCTCCCATGTCCGCCAAGACTCGGTGAGGGGTCTTGCCCGCCGATATGTAGTCGTCCACCATGCCCAGCTGGTATTCGGGGTTAACGTCGATGGCGAGATACAGAGAGAGCAAAAGGGGGGGGGGGGGGGGGTCAGGAAAGGAAGCCAGGAGAAGGGGAAAAGGACGTCAGAGATGAAAACAAGCAATAAAAAAAGCAAGAGTCTTGAAAGAGAAAATGCACGATCACGAGCACACAGTAGGTGGCCGACAAGAAGGCGTTGCCATCACGCCCAGAGAGATCGACCGACATACAACAAGGACACACCGGCGTAAAAGTGGGTTGTCGTCGTCGTTGTTGTCTTCTTTACATCTTCACCGAAAAAAAATGTAATTTGTTTCATGTATACATCCCTCTCCTTACCCAAAAAGAGGAAGAGACGAACAAGGGAACCCGCAAGCAGAGTGTGCACACAAGACAAAAAAGAATAACCAACAAGAGGAAGACAAAGCTTCCCTGCGCTCCTTTCGGCACAACGCGATTAGAAGGAGAGAAAAAAAGGATCAAGAGGGGGAAACTATGCTTCGTTATCTAGGCCTGAAGAAAATATCCAGGAAAGAAGAGCGCCCACCGCCCAGACACCAAGGCCGACTCCAAATACACTTTCGAGTTCAACCGCAAGTACGTTGGGGTGACATGAACATCATCAAAATGTGCATCTTATTGTGTCGGCAAACCAATCGGCAGCTGCTGCGCGATTGTAGAAGCGCGAGAGCGACACAGTTTACTCTCGCTAGGTACTATCGAACACAATGCAGCTGCCATCGAAAACAGAGCAGTTGTCCTCTTTTCCGCCAGTCCGTCAGGCAGGCTACCAAACGGCACGAACAAAAAAAAAAAAAACGTTTGGCAAACACATACCAACGGGGCGATTGTCTTGATGTCGTTGTCGTCTGTTCCTTTGTCGAGAACTTCCCTCAGCGCCGGGATGGACCCAATCTCCTTCAGGTCGAGGTTCTTAACTTCGCCAATTTCGCCCATCATCATGTGGCACAGGTCCTTCACCTCCTGCAACAATTGTCCAGATTTCGATCGACGTCTTACGTCATCAACAGACAGCGTATTCTCTCTTGTGGGGGATAAAAAATTATGCCTTTGCTTGAAATATGTAACACAGATCGACTTGGCGATAAAAATTAAGAGCCGACGAGAGTTCGGCAGTTAAGCCGGGCTGGGTTCTCGGATACCTCTCCGCCCAACACCTTGCGCATGTCGAGCACATACGCTTCGCCGCCTAAACGAACACTATCTTACGGTTGTGATTTTTATCGGTCTGTGTGAGACCCTCCCTGTTCCAAAATGAACTGGGTGGAGGAAAGTCGTCTTCTTCTTCGGTCACCACCGGGTGCGAATAAAAAAATCAAACGAACGTGCTTCTTTCTGATTGCGAGCCCCGTGACGGCAGCGACTTTGCGGGGGCTCGTATTTTGCTTCTGAGACCGATTTGTTCGCCCCCCGCCCCCGCCCAAACATCCATCCTATTTAGCTGAACCGAAGAAAAATAAAGAAATTTTACACCATTTGCACTCCCCCCCAGCCACCTTAGCGAAAATGAAGAATGAAAAAAACTCAAAAAACAATTCTGCAGAACATCAAACCGACACCCCCACCTGAAGATTCGGCGCTCTACCGTCCATGAAGGCAGCCCGGTCACCTCGACCAATGGCAGCGACTGCTTCCGTCATGAGCCCCGCGTTGGTCCTGCACGGCAGACCGCGGACGAGCGCTGGCGTGGTTTCTTTCAGACTTCATTCACTACATTCCTTCGGATGGGCGGGGGCGTTGTCTCCTGGAACGGGCAGTCTCTCGGTGATGGTTTTGAGCATGTTCAATACAATGCGGCCTTTTTTATCTAGAGCCTCGCTTCGTTTATATGGTCCCAAGGCATTGACGAGACTGCGTAATCTTCGTGCCTGTCGCAATTCAAGTTCCGCACCAAACGAAAAAAGGTGGCAAAAACAAATCCACCATATTCCCGCACTTGAGGATACGCAAATTCCCCCCACCCCGTTTCGTCGGTGAGAGCTAGCTAACCTTGCGATGTAGGCGAAGCGTCCTTTGGACTCGCAGTCCTGCTGGAGCCACTCGTGTCTCTCTCGCTCGAATACCACCTGCGTCCGTCAAGACAAAAAACAAAACACCCAACAAAAGCGGTAGTCTACACTACGCAGGATTTTTGTTGAGTACCCAAACATGCTGGCAAGTTAGAATTGGCTAAGAGTAAAGCTGCAGGTAGAGAGATCGGAGCGGTTTTTAATGTAAAGGCAGCCACAACACCAATACACAACAGTAGCTCGGGTGTACATCAAGACCCAGATTGTAGGATCGAGGTTAGTGCACGCGAGGAAGGGTCCATGCGGGCGCGAATGTCATTGGCCGGCGTCTGTCTCACCTTGGTCGGGCCGTCGGGAAACGCCAGGCTTCCTAGCAGAGGGCGCCTCTCTCGCTTCAGTCCGAGCAGCACGGTGTTGGCGACGCTTGCGATAGGATTCGGGAACCGAAAGACCTTGCCAAGCAAGACAGACATAAAGAGCGACACAGACAGAGATGGACCGAGAAAGGCAGAGACAGAGAGAGACAGAGAGAGAGCGCGCGCGCGGGGGGGGGGGGGGGGGGGAAGAGGGGGGAAAAAACAAAAAAGGAGGGGGGGGGGCTTGATTTTAAAAAATTTTTTTTGGGAAAACCCCCCGGTGTGGGTTTTTAAAAAAGGGGGTGGGGGCCTTTTTTTTTTTTTTTTTTTTTTGGACCCAAGGTTTGGGAAAGGGACCCCCCCCCCAATTCCCCCCAAAATTAAAGGGATTATTTTGCCTTACCCCCCGGGGCTAACCGGGGGGGGGTACGCCTCTTTTAAATTTTTGACTTTTTTGGGGTATTCCCCCCGCCCCCAAAACCCTTAATTTTGTTTCTTCCCAAAAAAAAAAAAACAAAAACCCCCTGGGGATGGGAAAAAAAAAAAAAAAGGGGGGCGTTCCGGGGTTTAAAATTAAAACCCCCCCCCCCCCCCTCCCCTTTTTTTTTTTTACCCCCCCAAAAAT